GGCTTCCTTAGAATCATAAGCTTAGTTCCTTCATAAGACTATTATTTTTGAGTCAGAGGAAATAGCTACACAACACTGCCCATTTTGGCTGGCTTACCCTTACTGTGAAGGACTTCCCTCTCTGTTTTAGTATGCTGAGAGGGATTCATGACCTCTACAACCCAAGAGTGTACAGTATTTCATATGTATATCCCCTACCCTCAGTCTGTGATGATCCAATGAGTCCCCAGCCTCGGCACTGGGGAAGCAGCCTAAGCTCTGGCTGAGAATCAGTTAAGGAGCTGACTTTTCAAGAGCTCACACTTGAGAAGTATGAATGGGAAGGACAAACACTGGAGCATTTGGCAGTTAGCTGGAATGCACAGATTGTTAGAATGTGGAAGTCAACAATGCCACGAAATAAATGTTACCACGGGGGGGGGGGGAAAGGGGCTGAAAGTCCAGTTGTCAAAATAACCAGGTCTAACAATTCACAGGAAATAAATCTGTGGAAAAGGATATTGAATAGATATTATAGAGGAGCAGGCTGGCAAGATGCTGCACAGTAGTGTTTTTGTGAGATGTGGTCCTGATTTGAAGGGAAGAAGGCAGACATCTCAGCCTTCCAAAATCTGCTCTTTCTGGCAAGTAGCACCCCAACCCCAGTTTGAAAGGGATAGCATCCCCATTGTCTTAGATGACTTGTCTTCTCCTATGGTTCTCACTTGCTTATCCATCTGAATCAGGATCACAGGTGGAGGTCCCTAGAGACAGATGATGTGAAGTTACTATTGAGCACATGCTGCTCTGCCAGCTTTGCAGGAGGCACATGAATTCCTGTAAAACCTTAGAGGGAAAGGACCAAATCAGACAACGATCATCCCCTGATGCATTGTAATTGCTCCAAATGGGATGGCTGATGTTCCAACACATGCTTGTCTCCTAGGAACTAGGGCAACGGTGAATGTGCTTTACTGTGTTTCTATTATGAATGTTATATGCATGGATTCTGTACTGCTCTTTGGCCCCTGAAAATAGGCAGGTGTAACTGTCTCTAGAGTCAGAAGAGAAACTGAGACCCAGATTTAGTAATCTATTGAGTCCATGTGTCTCTAAATGGAATGATTTATATGTAAGACTTTCTTCTACCTCTTAAGGATGTACCACTCTTAGCCAGATGTTATGAATCATCAGAGATGTAACTCCCCTTATTTACTACTGGAATCACTATAGATTTGTTCTTTTTTTTTTTTTAGAGGAATTCCTTTTTTTTTTAAACATATTTTCTTCTTCCTATTATTTTTGCTTCCTTGTATTTTGTTTTGTTGTTGTTATTTTTAGACAAAACAAATTATATATATATTTCCACCTAGCCTCAAACTCTTTATCCTTCTGCCTCAGCATCCCACATACTAGGATTATAGTCATGTATCACCACATGCAGAAGCCAGTTTTCTTAATGGAACAAATAAAGTTATGTTGTCCTCATCACACTGAATTCTTTAAGTTTTCAAAGTAAAGCACTGAAAACCTTTATGAAATTTTCTTTCTCTGGAGTTCCAGAAAAGCTGTTCATAGAAGGGCATTCATGAACTAGAGGCTTTCTCATTCCCTCTTCAACCTTGACTAGGCTGAAGGACTCTGGGAAATGGGCAGTAGATCCTCAGGAGAGCAGCATGGAGCTCAGAGAGGGCTGCAGGATGGAGTGGAGAAGCCCTGACCTGTACCAGGAGAAAGTCAGTAATCAAATGCTATCAGAGTGTAGTGTTTCTCACTGAACTTGATGAAACCATCTGTAAGTCAAGCACCATGAGCTGTTCCCACGGTGGTTGTAGACAGGGAAGTTACTCCTGCGAACTGACTGTGACTTGGGAACATGTTGAGACCCCATCAAGTCATTGAGTCTCTCTCACTGTCATTCTGTGGACTCTGTGAGGCTGTGTAATACTCTTTGTCCTGGCCGTGAACCCATCTTTGGAAGGCTCTTGTTTGGAAACTGGAGAACGTTAGAGTGAGGAGCATATGATGAAATACTGTGGAACTCGATCCTCTATCAATAATAATAGGATTAGTGAGCAGATTTGAATCACTTGGCTCTGTGTCCCCAACAGTCAAATACCTGAAGCCAAGTGAACTTTACTCTCCCTTTCATTCTGTTGAATTATCCCCCAATAAGAACATGCAATACTCACGTTCTAAATAGTAAGAAGGACGGAGTGGTCGCATTTCCAACAGATTTTATAATGTAAAGGTTGGAGCTTAGGAGCTCTACATCTTAAGTGATGCAATTTAAAGTAGTTTGCTATTTTAAATCCAAGTGCACATAATTTAAAAAATACATCTGTTGGTAAAGACAAGGAGATTGTTTCAAACTGCACAACATCAAAACTTTCCAAAAAGAAATGTAATGTTTTATAACAGTCTTTGGGTCTGTGGGAGAAGGGGGTTTCCCCAAGTCCAGCACTGGAGCCTCTGGTCTCAGTGACTCCTGGGTATTTAGTTTACTCTCATGACCTCACTGGCTCCATCTATCCCAGGACCCACTGCTATTTTATTCTTTGGTTCTTTGCTGTGTTCTACCTCCAAGCAGCCTGAGATGGGGAACATCAAATTTCCTTAATGGACTCAGCAGGATCTCTTATTCATTCACAATGACCGAATGAGCATACACATGTGCATATGTCCACACATACAAGGTACACACACTGAACTGAAAACACATCCATGTCCTTAACCCTTTTTGCACTGTGACACTTCCTATCCTTTTCTATTTCATTAAAAAAGTGGATTCCATAACCCAACTAGAGATTCCACCACATTTTGAAACTAATACAACCTAGACCTTGGTTTTGAATAGAAGACTCAATACTGGAAAGGTGCTTCATCTTGGGCAGGCTCCTCTGAAAACCTCTGTCTCTACAGCCGTACACTGGAAAGAAATTTTATAAGTCTCATTAGGTGATTTTTTAATTAGGATAAAATGAAGATGAACCGATGAGGGTACCCAGTGTGGCAGATGTGGAAAACCCTTAGCTGGTCATCAGGTCCAAAGGAAACTCCATTTTTCCAAACCACAAAGGAGAGGTGTCCCTTTCCATGTGATAGGTGGCCAGCATGGTGAGAGAAGCCACCTGGCCCAACTTCAACTTTTGTAGAAACAGAGTATGCTCCAAGAGTGAGCTGAGCAAGGAGGCAGGAGTCATAGGCCCCAGGAACCAACAGAGACAGAGCAAGCAACTCTGAGACCACATTTACCAGGAGGGAGCAGGTGCGCGGAAGAAGCAGCTAGAGTTTGAATATGGTGGTTAGCAAAAGCCAGAAGGAACAAATGATCCACTGCTTAGGAGAGTTCTGATCAGCTGCCTGGATGGCTTAGGAGAGACCCAGCCCCTTGGAAAGGGGTATATTTTTGCAATTCCTGGTTTTTTCATCACCAGATGAACTGACGATATGACTGCCCCATGGCATGGTTAACGGGGCAGTCTTTGTTTTAAATATGAGACAGAGAACAGCAAGAGACATTGGAAAGAGTTCAGAGCAGAGAGAAGGTAGTAGCTTGGATATGGCCACCACACTAGACCTAGCCAGGAGAGAAGCAGGAGCTGAGCAGATAGAGGTGGGGTGGGGTTGGGGGGAGAAGGAGGGAGGTGGAGCTCAGGAGAGCTGGGCTGGGGGAAGGGAGACAAAGTGCAGACAAAAGAGGGAGCATAGCCAAAATAGCAGAGTTATAAGGAGCATGAGTATCTGGGGGTCGGGAAGCCCAGGAGCTGGAGAAGTTTAGGGTAGGGGAGGAGGTGAGAAGGGCTAGGATGCTAGCCTGGACTTTGAAATGTGCAACAGGTCCTTGTGATACCTAGGGAGCCTGGAGACCAGCATGTGCTTTGGTATGCCCTTAGGCGCCTCAGAGAAACTTCTGCCAGGGACATGGCTCCTTTTGGTACAGGGGAACCTGCTTCAGGTTTCACAGGAATGCTGGCTTTGGCTAACCACCAGGATTTGGGGAAACAGAGTTTCCTTTGGACCCGACACTTGGGTGTATGTTCTGTAAAATGAACTCAGCAAAACCTCTTTTCCTTGATTTCACATAGAAATGCAGACGCAAAGATAGAAAATCACATCCCAAAGAGGCAAGGAATTGGCATTCTATGTGGTGGGCAGAATATAACTGTTTCAGAGAGCAGCTGAGTTATTCTCAGCACACTCCCTCCGTTTGGTACAACAGACCCTTTGAAGCCTGACCTCTGCTTTTGATCAAACAGAGCCTAACAGCCCAAGGGCTGAACAGTGCCTGCTGCCCTGGTCATGCTGCTGGCCATGTCCTCTGGGTTTGAGACACGCAGTCATGAGCCTTCATACACGAGGATACAGATCCTTCTTGCTTTTATTCATCTCTGTGATTATTCATGTCTATCACTGGTTTGGTGTGGTTGTGAACAATGCCTCAAAGTTTCCCGATAGCCAGTTTCCTTAACAGAAAAATGGAGACATAGCGAGTTCATGTGGTCATGTGACTGTCACAGGCAATGCGTCCAGAGATCTGGGCTGGGATACAGAGCTTGTCAAGCATAGGCAAAGCCCTGGGTTAGATCTTCATGGAGAGGGGGAGGAGGAGGCAGCTGAGAGGAGGGGAAGGGAAGAGAGAAAAAGAGAGTGGGGTGGAGTGGGTAGGACCATTAGAGGTCTACAGTATACTGTGGTTTGCTGGTACTCTGTTTTCCCATTACGTCCCACACATTTTTATCCTCCACTCTGACCGAAGAACCAGTTTGTTTGTTTTCTTTTTTTTTTTTAAGTCACTTTTTAACCAATGGAGACACTAAACTGGTTTGTGCAATCAGAGGATGGTTCCTTTACACCACATTCAGCTATTTTACGTGGGATCTGTAAATCAGAGGAACATATTCCTGGAATGTCTCCCACACTGCCGTAAGGAAGTCAGCCACTTCTTCAGTGTAGGGCTCCTGTCCAAACACCCTCACAGGACGGACTTTTAACAGCCGGTGTGTTTCATTCCTATTTAGAAAAACCAAGCGATTGCTGCCATGGCTGGGAAGCCCATCCTTCACTACTTCGATGGCCGGGGCAGGATGGAGCCTGTCCGGTGGCTCTTGGCTGCAGCTGGAGTGGAGGTATGTTTTGACTTGAGTCATTTTAAGTTGAACGTGAAATTGAGTTTACCAAACATTTTTCTCACAGGAGCCGTCAAAGTGTCTTACTGAATGACCTACAATAAAACCTGCCAACTATTAAGTGACCCACAGATTTATTCTAATAAATTATTGTTTTCATTATCAATCATTGACATTAAAAGAAGGGCTGGAAAAATTGTTAGGGGTTAAGAACACTTTCTACACTTTCAGAGGACCTGAGTTCAAGTTACACATCACACGTATACACAGACACACACAGAGAGAGAATAAAATAAATCTTCAAAAACACTAAAACAAGTGTAAGTAATTTATCAAAACTTGTATGCTTTATTTCAATTTAAACCATCAGTAAAAATGTAAATGGAAAACTTATGCCATTTAGAGAAAAAAAATAGAAACATAAACATTGCCTATGGTGTTGCAAAGTTACTTTAATGTTCTTGGTGTGCTCATGCATTGGAGTTGTTTTTAGCACAGACTCTGTGTTTTGTTTTTGATTATTTGTGTATGTGGATCTGTGTGTGGAGATGCATATGTTATGTGGGTGGGGTGATATTTTATTTGTGCACTCCAGTAAAACTTATCTGGGTATCAAAGGAAAAGGCCAGCCACTAAATTAAACCTAGAGGTCAGACAGTGTTAGGACACACCTTTAATCTAGAGTTCAGGAGGCAGAGATCCATTCAGATCTCTGTGAGTTCAAGGCCTCTGTGAGTTCAAGGCCATACTGGGAACAGAGCCAGGCATGGTGGCACACTAGTTAACAACACTAGTTAACCATAAAGGTTTGGAGGTCTGTACAGACAGACAGGAAGTGATAGAGCTGAGCAGAAAGAGGAAGTGAGATGGCAGAGTACAGAAAGGTATATAGGCATGAGTATATAGGAAGTAGCTTTCTTTGGAGGCTGAGGAGCTGGTAAGGTGAGGTTGGTTGTGGCTTGTTCTATTCCTCTGATCTCTCAGTCTTTACCCCAATATCTGGCTCCATGTTTTTTTTTTATTAATAAGACTGTTTAGCAATTCATCTTACATGTGGGCACATGTGTGGAGGCTGGAGGATTGCCTCAAGTGTGCAAGTGTGATTTCTCTAGGATCAGTCACTTTTTTTTTTTTTTTTGTAGATAGGCTCTTCACTGGCCTAGTGTGCACCACACAGGCAAGGTTGATTGGCCAGGGAGCCTCAGGTTTGCACCTGGCTCTTCTTCTTCAGCTCTGGGATTACAAGGATGTACCACCACATTCAGCTATTTTACGTGGGATCTGTAATCCAACTCAGGTCACCATTTACACACAGCAAGCATTTTTCCGAATAAACTATTTTTCCCAGCCCAGTCCAGTTCCTATGCTCAAGAGAAACAATTTGAACTATTTAAGGATGAAACAGAGGCAGAGGAGATGAGGCCAAGACAGTGGGGAAGGGAGATGAAGGAGAACCAAGTACAATCATTCACACACATACACACTCATGCACATATGTGTATGTGTGAAAATGTAATTAAAGCAACCACTTCATCTCTTAGCTTAAAAACAATTAAAAGATTAATAAGTAAATAAAAGACACAAATAACCATCTTCATCCCCGCAAAAGAGATTTTTAAAAAGTCATATACTCTTTTAGTTGTATCATTTGGCAGTTCAGTTGTTAGTTAAACATTCTACAGTTGGAGGAAAATAAGGGGTATAATATAAAATGTACCTAGGCCAAATGGCATACCATAATGCTTTTAAGCCACAAATTTGTACAGAATGTTACTGAACTAATGCTGTAGGAATTAGAACACTATGATAATTACTTATAAATGTAAACATAGAAAAAAAATAATTGTGTAAAGCGCTCACCCTGCATAGTGCTTAGAATGGAAATTATGAGTCAAGGACTGAGGAGTGAGTGAAGGGAAGCCCAAGGCATCACTGTTTAAGACTGTGTGGGTCTGAAATGCCCTCCAAAGGTCTGAGAACTCCAGTCCCCAACCTGTGGCTATGTTGGGCAGCCGTGGGACCTGTAAGAAGCGGGGCCTGGTTGGAGGAAGTTAGGATCTAGGGTGTCTGCTCTTAAGAGGCATACTTGGACTCCAGCCACTTTCTCTCTCTTTGCTTACAGCAGCCATATGAACAGTTGGTTCCAGCAGGTGCTTCTTGCCTGAATGTTCTAGCCAGGTCCAAAAACAATGAAGGCCACTGAGCCAGGACCGAAACCTCTGAAAGCCTGAGCTGAGATAAACTTTCCTTCTCTTATGTTGCTTATCTCAGGTATTTGCTACAGTAGCAGAGGCTGACTGACTTCCAACAGCAGTAGATTGTTCATAAACGCTTTATATTAAGGAAACACTAGGTTATGAAAAAAATCCCCAATAATAAATTAACCTTAACTTAATGTAAATATGCAACTTCACAAATTTCATTTTTTAAACATTTTTTTTTTGTTTTTGTCATTAACAATAAGAAAGAGCACACATTGCGTAACCAAATAAAATATCCCTAAATTTTGTCTATTTTTAAGGTTTTCCATTTTTTTTTTTGGTAAGTGTTATTTAAACATAAGACATAACACACACATTGGCCTCAGCCTGATGGTGATCTGATAGTTAATATCATCATCCTCTTCTTCCTCTCTATCTTGTCACACTGGAAAGTCCTGGGACAGTGACCTGCATGAATTGTTGTCTCCTATGAGGACGATGCCTCCTTCTGGAGCAGCTGTTGAGGCATCTGCCTGAGGCATATCTAAGGAGATATCACCCTGTCATGAGTTTTCTTGACATCCCTGAAAGCAGATAATGGAGCGTGATTTTCCTCTTCACAAATGAAAGATTGTTCCATGTTGAGGTCCATGTTTTCAACTTCAAAGGACTGTTCCTGTGAATCTTCCTAATGTCCCACAGCAGTTCTGCTCCTCCAGCCTCTCTTTAATCTATGCAGTCACTGTGCAGTAATAAGTCTGAAATTCTGTTATAACCCATGGGACCGCCTTTGCACTAACAGTTTGCTGTCGACTCAGACATTGTTATAGAGGGTGTGAGTGAACATGAAATTTGAGATTTCCTTCAAGTGATCACAAAAGAAGAGGTGTAGATGAAAGCCGGTTGCCTTTATTTGATGATTGCTGAAAGTGAGTGAGGGGTACAAAGAAGAACACCACGATTTTCTGTTGACGTATACATATCCAACATGGTAACAACGAAAGGACTGAAGCATACACTCTAAGGACACACATGTAATTACATGAAAATACATGCTCCAGAGGAGGGGTGAGCAGGAGACACAGTACAAACCTTCTGTTACCCATGAAACACGTTCATTCATGTTATCACGAGCAGTCTGGTTGTTTGGCAGATCCTGGGGATACAGGGCCGTAACAGACAGACACCGTGCTGGCTTTGGGGCATTGCATTGTCAACATAAAAGCCATAGTTCTCATCTTAAAGGGGAATAGAGACAGTTTATTCTGGAGCTATTTAGAGTGACCATGGCCCCAGAGAACACAATTTAGGTTACCTCGAATTCCATGTTCCAACATGAAAGCAGGTCCACAGGGTTTTTATAGTTTTACAGAACAACAACAACAACAACAAAAAAGTCACAAGTCAAGGCAAGTTTAAAATTCATCGGTGGGTACACCAGAGAGGCAGGGACAAGGAGAAGAGGAGAGCTATTCTATAGGCCTAAGAGAGTCTCTGACGACATTCTTAGCTCTCGGGTTGGAGGAAGCTAGTGTCCCACTGAGTCCTGCTGAGTCAATAGCTTCTAAGAAGTTTCTACTTATTATTACAAGATGTTAGTTCTAAGTTAACAATCTCTAAAAGGTTTTTACTTATTATCATGAGATGTTAGTTCAGATAAACAGTGGGGCATGGAATGGCTGCTCCACAAGGCTAAAACTGGCCCAAGATAAAGTAGTTAGTATTTGAACCTGTAAAATTCCAATCTCTCCACAATACTGAAATCCAGTTGGTCCACAAAACCTCTGCAGACTCCTTCCAGGAGTTTTTCACTTACAGCCAGACACAACTTCATTTCAGGACTTCTCTATTTCAGTATATATTTATGTATACTTGATTTAAGTATGTATATATACATTTACACACACACACACACACACACACACACACACACACACACAGGGGACATGGAATCCAGTTTTATACAGGGTTAAAAGGCAATTTTTGCAACTGTCTGAGCAGGAATCCAGTATGGATCTCTGTGATTCAGTTGAACACTGCTTTCTAGAGTCGTCACAAGGAAAAAAAAAATTCTCAGTCTAGGCCAGAGGGAGCCCATAACTGAGTGACAGGTTTTCTGAAAAGGAAGTCATGGAAACTGCCAAGAGATCTTGTTCCTGGGAGGCAGTGGTCAGAGAGGGAGGTTACAATATGAGGTCCCATCTTCCAGCTGGGCTTCCATGGCCTCCTCAGCTTCATAGCAAAATGTTTACCAAAGCCTCGGATTAGTCCCTTTTCACAACCACTCTGTGAATATATGGATTGTATGGCCTAATCCTGTTTCCATTTAATAAAGAAACAAGAAAAAAATTGTAGAATCACCATAGACTGTTTTCTTTACATAAATGAGTGGTCAGTTTTCTCAAGCAACCAGATTGTGTGTGAAGAGTTCAGAGCTTCTGGGCACAGTGAGTTCACGCAGGAAGAGCATGTGGCAGGGATACAGCTTCCTCTCCTGCCTCTCAGCATGACTGAGGAGCCTGCTGAGAACAAGTCGCCTGGATCCACTGGCTCAGGCCTACTGTGTACAAAGGGTGATCATTATAGCCCCATTCATCAGGAGCCTCAGCATCAGCATCACACTCCAGTCCCATCCTACCTTGCCCACCTTGCTGGGGTGACCACCCTCCATCCTTTATGTTTTTCCTGGGGTGGGTGTTTGGCAAATTGTTATCACCCCACCTTATTGTCCCTGGGTATGATACCACGTGATCATATAGATCCACGAGAAACTGATCCATGGAGCATGCTAAATAACCCTTATGTCCTGACTTTTTTACAACGAGGAAGTCCAGGAAATTCACAGTCACTGAAAACAACACCACTATATCATGTAACGATACTTGATTTCTGTGGGGCAAGTGAGGTGCTGGGTGTTTGGAAAACATTCCACTATTATTTTAAAGAAGTATACACTTCCTCTAACTTTACAAATAAGCAAATAAAGTCTTTCCCGTGATAAGTGATTGGTTATACCATCTCACAGCTAGCATGAGACATAGCCACAAGCATGTCAACAAGAGGCACATGCCTTGATGACTCTTTGCTTGGGCTTTTGCCCAGACTCTGCCTGAAAAACAATTTGCATGTTATGTAAAAACCAACTCTCTTATTTCTATTAAATATACATGGCTCCCGTAGTTGTAGCAGATAGAAAGCTCTGCTTCCAGCTGACATTACAAACACAATATCTTATTTCGGGGAAAAAAAGAAAATAAATTTAAATGATTGGTTATGGATCTAGGATGAAATACATTTTCACCAATATGAGACCAGTTTAGACTATATTTAAAAACCAAAAGGATGTTGTCAAAAACCACATGTGAACCAGAATTCTTACAAAGAAGCTAAGTCTGCAGAGGCTGATTAAAATTGTGGAGAGTTTGGCATGCCACAGACCCAGAGGCTAATTCCTATTTGTCTTGGGCAATCTTTAGCCCTCTAAAGAGCCACTCTGTGTCAGACTAAACAGCCCATAAATACCTAAAAACTCCTTGAAATGTATAAACTTAATAGAAGCTGTTTCCCACCAATGGAAGGGCTGATAATATTATCAAATAGCATCAGAGGCCTATGGTTGAGATTCCACCACTTGACTCTTATCTACTTCTGTAATGTTTCCAACACTGTATTTGAAAAATGGCTTGACTTGTGACCTCTTTGCTTTATTACCATAAAAATGTCATGAAAGTGATTCCATGTTGGAACAATTGAACTTGGTATAATCTAAATCCATGTATTTAGGCCAAAGGCCACTCAAACTGAAATCCAAAATAAACTATCTCTTATCCCCTCTGAGTTGAGAGATGTGTTTTGTGTACACACACCCACTGTTTAAGGTCTTATTGATGTTTTATGTTTACTGAACACTTAATATACAACTGGTGATTTTCACTTGCATGTATTAGTAATTTAGTCCTGAGAACAACCCAAAACAGACAGTATAAGGAAATGCATTCTACGGATTAGGATACCAAGACACAGGAACACTTAGTGACCCGGCCAATGTAAAGAACTTAATACACTCTAAAGGTCATACCCAACTCACAAAGCCATCTCAGAACCAAAGGGTTTTAGCGACAAGAATATAGTGTAAAGACATTAATTACTTCTTAAATTGGGAATTCTATATAATTGTGTGCCCATTCTTTTACTGGCAAGAATAAAGTGGTGTGGGAAAATGGATCTGCATCATCCACAGCAGGGCTCCTGAGGAGAGAAGAACTGTGACTGGCAGATGCTAGGCCCTGGCCTGTGCCATATTCCATGCTGGAGACACACGATGTTCCTTCTGATCTCATTGGAATATTATAAATGACAGCCAGAAGCAATGGTCAGTCAGCATTCTCCTTTCACTGGCAATCCTGCAGCTCAGGACTTCATCAGCAACATAGGAACAGTCCTGGAACAGATGTCATCAAATACAAGATGGAGAAGTGATGTGCTGTGACCACAGCTCCTTTCTTAAAAGATCTGCCATAAATTTCCACAAGCCATGATTAACGCATCTATGTACCAACTAAAAACAAAACAAAAAAGTCCTTCTTCTCTCATATTATCTGCAGACAGGAATCATCAAAGTAAAAAGCCTGGAGTGCAATGAGATTGATTAATAAAGACTTGTTTATTCTTTCTGTATTCTAGTTTGAAGAAAAATTTCTGAAAACTCGGGATGACTTGGCAAGGTTAAAAAAAGGTAAGAACAAAGATCTAAATGCTACCGAGAGGGTTTCTAGTGGAAGCTTTAAACATTAGACATTACCTAGGTAAGTGTAGTATTCATTGATGAAAGGGTGGTAGATTGTAAGTCATGGGTCTCTGTGAGCAGATCTGGTGAAGAGCTCAGTTAAAAGGGCTGAAACTCTCTCTGTGTTTGCTGAAACCACCCCCAAAGCCCCCTGAATGCCCTGTCTCTGCTTCCCATGCTTGCTGCAGTTAGCTTGGGTTCCCACACAACCTGCCATCCACATACAATTCACTAGATGCCAGCAGCAAATGTGTCAGCCACTTACCTTGAGTTCTATCAGGTTTTATAAACTAATTCCCTAGTGATGCTGCATTATAGGATTAACAGGAAGGCTGTGTTGATTGTGTGGAATACTATGAGGGAGGATGAGAGAGAAAAGGGGAAGGGTCCACACCTATGGGGGAGGGTCTCTGGGCCTACCCAGCACATACTGACCCTTGCTATTAATGAAAAACACACAGGAAACCCACACAGAAGCAGGTTTGTGATCTTGCCTTGATGTCATGAACAGACAGAGACTTTGAGACCCTCTCTTTGTTTTCTAATGGTACCAGCTGAGTGCTGGCTTGTATCTCCCTCACTTTCTTCCTAAAACATACATGAACATGTAATAAACACTCCATCACATAATGTGCAACAAAATGCAGAATTAGTATCATGGTTATGAAATAAGTTATCAATAAAATAATAGGGTAAATTTAGAAGACACAAAAGATGCAGAAAACAAAATAAATTTAATGCTATTTCATCACAAAGTTACCATGTAATTAGTAGTTTTTAAAAATTCAGTCAATTCATTGAATACTTTTTGCTTTGAATATGGCTGACCATATATATATATATATATATATATATATATAATAATGAGAGAGCAAGAGAGAGAGAGAGAGAGACAGAGAGAGAGAATATAAGCCCATAGACATCATTTTATTTGCTTCAACAAGCCCATTATTCTCCTTTTCATTTGCTTCATCCAATAGATGGGAGTTTGATGTTTGAGCAAGTGCCCATGGTGGAGATTGACGGAATGAAGCTTGTGCAGACCAAGGCCATTCTCAACTACATCGCCTCCAAATACGACCTCTATGGGAAGGACATGAAGGAGAGAGCCATGTATGGTATAGTTTCTCTCATTATGAGAAAGGTTTAGGCTCTATCTTGAGTGGACAGAACCATGTAGAGTAGGAGATGCTAGAGCCCGGTTTCCCTTTGTTTGGTTTTCAGAAGCAGCATTTAGCCAATAGCTTTAGAAAAAGGAAAAGAGGTGGACAGCTTTGACTGTCAGTAAAGAGAAGGCCCCAAAGAGCTGATCTTCCAGTTCTGACAATTGCAGCCATGACCCTAGGTTACCATGTAAATCTGCATACATTCAGGCTGATTGTGGCCATAGACTCTGGTAGAGAGACACCAGGGTTGCATAAAGCTTTTTGTGGGAACTAGAGGCTGTTTGGGGGTATCAAGACTGATCATGAGGTATCTCTCCTAATAGAACCACCCCATTCAAATAAATCTTCTGTGAAACAGTGGGGTTTTTCTCAAAAAGTTAAACATCAAGTCACCAATAACCCAGCAGTTCCATTACCACATGATACAGAAGAGAAATAAAAATACATCCTCGGGAATAATTGTACAGGAATGTTCATAGATGTGTTATTTATAGTGTTCAAACAGTAAAAAAAAATGAATATTAACCAAATGCTAACAGAAGAATGGACAAAGAGAGGAACATTGGTTGCTAGCCCCTTTAGGTCATTCAAAAGAGAATGTTACTACTGGAGGAGGTGGTGTTTGCTTTTAATCCTAGCACTCTGTGATAAAGGCAGGATGAATCACTGTGAGTTCAAGATCAGCCTGTCAACATAGTAAATGTGCAGACCAACCGGAGCTATAGAGAGATCGTGTGTGTGTGTGTGTGTGTGTGTGTGTGTGTGTGTGTGTGTGTGTGTGTGTTTGAAAAGATTGCTAATCTGCAAGTAAAAATAAGATTATTATTTTATTATTACTAGCTCCACCCATCTGAGGTGAACTATTTGACCACTGCCTTTTACATTTTTCAACTATAAAATCTGAGGCAGAGGGCCTTGGCAGAAAGCTTGTCTGTTTTTCAGCATCGACATGTATGTGGAAGGTGTGGCAGATCTGGAGATAATGGTTCTCTATTACCCCCATATGCCTCCTGGGGAGAAGGCTGCAGCCCTTACCACAATCAAGGACAAAGCAAGGAACCGTTACTTCCCTGCCTATGAGAAGGTGAGTGCATGCTGTTTGACCTTTAGAGCGCTCAGAGGGCCTAGTAGTCCTCAGGGGGCATCTGAGCAGCTAACATTGCTGCAACAAAAATGCCAAGCACGGTGTGGGTTAAACCGCAGACACTTATTTCTCACTGTGCTGGATGCTATGAAGTATAAAATCAAGACACTGCACATTGGTTTCTAGCCAGACTTACTCCTTAGTTCACAGATGCCTGCCTTCTGTCTGTGTCTCCAGTGGCAGGGAGGGAATAGGAGCTGTCTGGAGGCCTCTTGTGGGGAGCAGGAGCCATTCACGAGCCCTTAACTTGTAGGATGGAATCCCCTCTCAAGCATTCTACTTACTAAGAGTGTCAACCTGTGAGCGGGGGTTCTTACTATCTTGATTTGGGGGAGACACAGATACTCAGTCACAACAGAGCCAAGAGGAAAAGGGCCTAGGTGTTCTTGGAATATAGCATATACCAACGGAAGCAGTCAACTCAAGTGTGAAGGATGTCTTCACACAGGGGAAGCCACTTCCCATTAAGAGACTACAGAGTACAGTGAGGCAACACCCTCAGTGTCAGAGCTTCACCCCTTTAGTGGGGGATGGGGTCAGGAAGAAATAGTGTGGCTGGAGCTGGGAGTTTGGCACATGTATGAAAAGCAGTGAAGGACAGATGACAAAATGATGGGCAGACATCTGCTTCTTGACTTTATCATGAGTCAGGGCATAGAACAAGATGTGGGGCTCCATACACACCCAAAAAGGCAGCAGAAGGGAAATTTGACTTGAGAGCCTCAGAAAAAGCCAAGAGGCCCCAGTGTAATGGCTGTTGTTGTCAAGATCTAACTAACATCTTGAACCTCTCAGGTGTTGAAGAGCCATGGACAAGATTATCTGGTTGGCAACAGGCTGAGCAGGGCTGATATTGCCCTGGTTGAACTCCTCTACCATGTGGAAGAGATGGACCCCACCATTATGGCCAACTTCCCTCTGCTGAAGGTGCTCTATTTCAAGCTCTCTGAGGGGCAGCCCATATCTTACCCCTGGGGTTCCAATAATTGACCCAACTTCTAGTTTCTTCCTGCTTTCATTGCTAACCCTTGCACCCAGCTATACATACAAAGTGAGATGATTTTAGACCCTAGGTCTGAGACATACGCTATCTCAAGAAGGCATTTTTGTCTTGTACAGTGGAAAGAGTACAAGGCCTTGCTTACTGGCCCCTATACCCTGTTCCACCTTAGATTTGGTGCTGATTTCAATGAGATTCTCTTTATCACTGCTGTAGCCTTGTCCTTCCACACCGAACCTATCTGGAAAGGTCTTTTCAAGTTTCTTCTCCATTATTAACCATTGTATTTCTCTCTACAGTGGCCTCCTTCACATATTTCCCCAATCCAATAACTCCTATTGTGGGGTGTGTGTGTGTGTGTGTGTGTGTGTGTGTGTGTGTGTGTGTGATGTGAGCATATGTTCATCTCTGTGTATGTGTGTGTGATGTATGCATGTGTTCATATGGGTGTGTGTGTGTGTGTGTGTGTGTGTGCGTGTGATGAATACATGTTTCATATGGATGTGTACAAATGTGCTTATGCATATGGAAGCCAGAGGTATACATAAGATGCCTTGCTGGATCACTCTCCATCTTATCTTTGAATGTTTGAATGGAGTTGTCACTGAGCCTGGAGCTCATCTATTCAGCTAGGCTGGCTGACCAGTGAATTTCAGGGCTGTCTTCTCCACCCTCTGCACCACAGCGCTGGGGCAAAGGTACATACTGTTGTACTTGCCGTTATGTGGGTTTGGGGATCCTAACTCACACCCTCATGCTTGCATAGCCAGCACTTTGTCCACTGAGCCATTCCTCAACCCTCCTGATCGTAGGACTTGTCTTGGTTTTGTGTGGTGCTAGTGATTAACCCTTGCATACACCAGGCAGTGCTGTACCACTGGCCTATACTGCCAGCCCCAGCAATTCCCACTTGTCTTTCCCAGTGTGAAGGTTGGTTATGACCGGACCCGGGTTTCCTGTTCTATTTTTCTACCACTATTTCTGACTCTGTTGTCCCAGATCTTCATTTTCTCTGTTTGGGTGTGTCCATGTATCAACATCTGAGAAACAAACTGTTCATCCTTAAATTCTAGAGAAATGAAGAGTCTGCAGGACTAAAGTCCAAAGAAGAAGATGGGAACAACTTGAACAGAATGAATCTTTAAGATAAACCGGGGGAAAGCTCCATTTTTTTTCCCTCTCAACTTCATTCTCTCTTGGTATCTGTCTCCAGCCTCCACCCTGCTGCTGATGGAGGGGATCGGTTGGTTTTCTGCCTGGCAGGGCTGCAGGGCTGCACAAGCATTAGCTGTTTCTTCAGCTGAACTCTGAGGCTCTGATTTGTTTGTTGCAGGCACTGAGAACCAGAGTCAGCAACCTTCCCACTGTGAAGAAGTTTCTCCAGCCCGGCAGCCAGAGGAAGCCTTTTGATGACGAGAAATGTGTAGAATCAACAAAGAAGATTTTCAGTTAAATCAGGCAGATATGGATGAACAGCAGCCACAAGGCCAACCTTCTAAAGCTTTGCAACAGTGAAGTGTTTTGATTAAATGTTGATCCTGCTTAGTGTGAGGCTTACAAGTTTTCTAAGGTTTGTGCATTAATTTAAGTAGTCATGACCTATGTGGATTTGTGGGATGCTATTTGGTTGTAGTCAATATTGAAATCATCATCACTTCCTGGGATATTCCCTTGAATTTCATTAAAACAGAACAAGCTTCTTAGACTCTGGAGTGTTCAAATATTGTCATGAAATAGCTGTCATAGGCTTGTCAAACAGAGGTAAGCAGAAACCTTCATGTCAAGCTCTGGCTCTTGCAGACATCATCTTTCCTGATGGATCGTGCCCTTTCTCACCAAGTACACACATGCATGAGCACATGCACACTGTGAAGAACTGTTTCCTTCAACTAATTAACCTTTTTCTTACTCAAGTACTCATCCAGTATATTTATGTTAAATATGGAGCATTCATTCCTCCTGTGGCTGCATGAATGATGAATAGGACAAATACAATCATTTACCCAGCCCAAGAAGCTCTGAATTTATTGATATAAAAT